AAGACCATCCAACCACAAAGGCACCCCATGGAGACCTGAACTCCCACCCAAGAGGCCCCCCAACCCTAGGGACCCTCATGAGGACCTGAACCCCCACCCAAGGGATCCCCAACCTCAGAGATACCCCATGGAGACCTGAACCCTCACCCAAGGCAGCCCCCAACCTCAGAGACCCTCATGGGGACCTGAACCCCCACCCCAGGGAACCCCCAACTCCACAGACACCCCATGAGGACCTGAACAAGACCATCCAACCACAAAGGCACCCCATGGAGACCTGAACTCCCACCCAAGAGGCCCCCCAACCCTAGGGACCCTCATGAGGACCTGAACCCCCACCCAAGGGATCCCCAACCTCAGAGATACCCCATGGAGACCTGAACCCTCACCCAAGGCAGCCCCCAACCTCAGAGACCCTCATGGGGACCTGAACCCCCACCCCAGGGAACCCCCAACTCCACAGACACCCCATGAGGACCTGAACAAGACCATCCAACCACAAAGGCACCCCATGGAGACCTGAACTCCCACCCAAGAGGCCCCCCAACCCTAGGGACCCTCATGAGGACCTGAACCCCCACCCAAGGGATCCCCAACCTCAGAGATACCCCATGGAGACCTGAACCCTCACCCAAGGCAGCCCCCAACCTCAGAGACCCTCATGGGGACCTGAACCCCCACCCCAGGGAACCCCCAACTCCACAGACACCCCATGAGGACCTGAACAAGACCATCCAACCACAAAGGCACCCCATGGAGACCTGAACTCCCACCCAAGAGGCCCCCCAACCCTAGGGACCCTCATGAGGACCTGAACCCCCACCCAAGGGATCCCCAACCCCAGAGATATCCCAAGGAGACCTGAACCCCCACCCCAGGCACCCCCCAACCTCAGGGACACCCCGATGGGGGCCTCAACCCCCACCCCAGGACCTTCCAAACCCAGGGACCACCCCATGGGGTCCTGGTCCCCCACCCCAGGGACCCTCCATACCAAGAGACACCCCATGGGGCCTGATCCCGAACCCCAGGGACCCCCAAACCCCAGGGACCCTCATGAGGACCTGAACCTCCACCCCAGGGACCCCCCAACCACAGGGACCTTCATGAGGACCTGAACAGAGACCACCCAACCCCAAAGACACCCCATGGAGACCTGAACCCCCACCCCAGGGATCCTCCTACCCCATCTCCCCAACTCCCACCCCTGGAGGACCCCACTCACGCTCGCAGATGGGTTTGGGGGTGCTCCAGCGCCCCAGCTTGGTGCAGTTACTGCGGGCGCTGCCCACCAGGCGGAACCCGGGGTTGCAGCTGTACTCGGTCCACGTCCCCTCCACCGGCACCCGCTCCATCGCCCGCGCCACCGCCTGCCCGTTCTCCAGGCTGAGGTGCATTTTGGGGCAGGTCCTCACTGGTTGGGGGTGCAAAGCGGGGTCAAATCCTGCCCAGGGTGACCCCTAGCAGCGCAGCGGGTGCTGGTGGGGTGACAGGGATGGGGATGGGGATGGTGAAGGCGATGGTGAGGGTAATGGTGATCATGGTGATGATGGTGGTGGTATGTGGATGCTAATGGTGATGGTAATGGTGATGGTCATGGTGAAGGCCACGGTACTGGTGATGATGATGGTCATGCTAATGGTGAAGGCAAAGGTGATGGTAAGGGTAATGGTGGTCATGATGGTGATGGTGGTGGTATTTCGATGCTAATGGTGATGGTAACGGTGATGGTGATGGTCATGGTGAAGGCCATGGTGACGGTTATGGTAATGGTGAAGGCAAAGGTGATGGTAAGGGTAATGGTGGTCATGATGATGATGGTGGTGGTGTGTTGATGCTAATGGTGATGGCAACGGTGATGGTGATGGTCATGGTGAAGGTCATGGTACTGGTGATGGTGATGGTCATGGTAATGGTGAAGGCAAAGGTGATGATAAGGATAAAGGTGGTCATGACGGTAGTGGTGGTATTTCGATGCTAATGGTGATGGTAATGATGATGGTGATGGCCATGGTACTGGTGATGATGATGGTCATGGTGACGGTCATGGTAATGGTGAAGGCAAAGGTGATGGTAAGGGTAATGGTGGTCATGATGGTGATGGTGGTGGTATTTCGATGCTAATGGTGATGGTAATGATGATGGTGATGGCCATGGTACTGGTGATGATGATGGTCATGGTGACGGTCATGGTAATGGTGAAGGCAAAGGTGATGGTAAGGGTAACGGTGGTCACGATGGTGGTGGTATTTCGATGCTAATGGTGATGGTAACGGTGATGGTCATGCTCATGGTGAAGGTCATGGTACTGGTGATGATGGTGATGATGGTGGGGATGGGGACGTTGACGGAGATGGTGATGAGGATGGTGGTGATGGTGAGGATGGGGATGAGGATGGTGATGACGGTGGGGATAGGGATGGGGATGAGAATGGTGATGATGGTGGGGATGGGGACGGTGACAGAGATGGTTATGAGGATGGTGACAATGGTAGGGATGGGCATGAGGATGGTGATTATGGCGGGGATGGGGATGAGGATGGTGATGATGGTGGAGATGGTGATGAGGATGGCGATGATGGTGGGGATGAGGATGAGGATGATGGTAGGGATGAGGATGGCGATGATGGTGGGGATGAGGATGAGGATGGCGACAATGGTAGGGAAGAGGATGGCGACGACACTGGGGATGGGGACAGCGACGGTGACAACGACGGCAACCGCGCCGGCGCCAGCGCCGCGGTGGTGGCCCCGGGGACACTCACGGCAGCGGCTGGGGTGGCCCATGGCGGTCCAGGTGCCGTCGCGCTGGCACTTGCGCACCTTGGGCCCCACGATCTCGCGGTCGGGCCGGCAGACGTACTCGATCTCGTAGTCGAAGGGCAGGAAGCGGACGCTCTGCACCTCCTCGGGGGTCAAGCCCCGGTAGCGGATCCCCCCGTCCCGCGGCGGGGGGGTGGGCTCGCCCCCCCGGGGGACTGCATCCCCTATAGAGCACATCCCCTAGAGTACATCCCCTATAGAGTACATCCTATAGGCCCTGCATCCCCTATAGAGCACGTCCCCTATAGAGCATGTCCCACGAACCCTGTGTCCCCTATAGAGTACTTCCCCTATAGAGCATGTCCCATAGACACTGCATCCCCTATAGAGCACATCCCCTAGAGTACATCCCCTATAGAGTACATCCTATAGGCCCTGCATCCCCTATAGAGCACGTCCCCTATAGAGCATGTCCCACGAACCCTGTGTCCCCTATAGAGTACTTCCCCTATAGAGCATGTCCCATAGACACTGCATCCCCTATAGAGCACATCCCCTAGAGTACATCCCCTATAGAGTACATCCTATAGGCCCTGCATCCCCTATAGAGCACGTCCCCTATAGAGCATGTCCCACGAACCCTGTGTCCCCTATAGAGTACTTCCCCTATAGAGCATGTCCCATAGACACTGCATCCCCTATAGAGCACATCCCCTAGAGTACATCCCCTATAGAGTACATCCTATAGGCCCTGCATCCCCTATAGAGCACGTCCCCTATAGAGCATGTCCCACGAACCCTGTGTCCCCTATAGAGTACTTCCCCTATAGAGCATGTCCCATAGACACTGCATCCCCTATAGAGCACATCCCCTAGAGTACATCCCCTATAGAGTACATCCTATAGGCCCTGCATCCCCTATAGAGCACGTCCCCTATAGAGCATGTCCCACGAACCCTGTGTCCCCTATAGAGTACTTCCCCTATAGAGCATGTCCCATAGACACTGCATCCCCTATAGAGCACATCCCCTAGAGTACATCCCCTATAGAGTACATCCTATAGGCCCTGCATCCCCTATAGAGCACGTCCCCTATAGAGCATGTCCCACGAACCCTGTGTCCCCTATAGAGTACTTCCCCTATAGAGCATGTCCCATAGACACTGCATCCCCTATAGAGCACATCCCCTAGAGTACATCCCCTATAGAGTACATCCTATAGGCCCTGCATCCCCTATAGAGCACATCCTGTAGGCCCTGCATCCCCTACAGAGCACATCCCCTACAGACCACGTCCCCTATAGGCCCTGCATCCCCTATAGAGCACATCCCCTACAGAGTATGTCCTATAGGCCCTGCGTCTGCTATAGAGCACATCCCCTATAGAGCACGTCCCACATGCCCTGCATCCCCTATAGAGCGCATCTCCTATAGAATATATTCCCTACAGAGCATGTCCCACATGCCCTGCATCCCTTATAGAGCACATCCCCTATAGAGCATATCCCCTATAGACCACGTCCTATAGGCCCTGCATCTCCTATAGAATATATTCCCTACAGAGCATGTCCCACATGCCCTGCATCCCTTATAGAGCACATCCCCTATAGAGCATATCCCCTATAGACCACGTCCTATAGGCCCTGCATCCCCTATAGAGCACATCCCATATGTCCGGCATCCCTTATAGAGGACATCCCCTATAGAGTATATTCCCTATAGACCACGTCCTATAGGCCCTGCATCCCCTATAGAGTATGTGCCACAGGCCCTGCACCCCCTATAGATTTCATCCCCTATAGAACACGTCCCACAGACCCTGTGTCCCCTATAGAGCACTGTAGAGTGTAGCCCACATGTCCTGCATCCCCTATAGAGCAGATCCCCTATAAAGCACATCCTCTAGGGTACACCCCACATGTCCTGCATCCCTTATAGAATACACCCACAGATGCTGCATCCCCTATAGAGTACGTCCCATAGGCCCCCCATCCCCTACAGAGTACAGCCCATGTGCCCTGCTTTCCCTATAGAGTGCATCCCCTATAGAGTACATCCCCCAGGCCCTGCATCCCCTATAGAGTACCTCCCCTATAGAGTACGTCCCACAGGCCCTGCGCCCCCTATAAAGTACATCCCATATAGAGCACATCCCCTATAGAGTACATACCACAGGCCCTGTGCCCCCTATAGAGTACTTCCCCTATAGAGCACGTCCCATAGACACTGTGTCCCCTATAGACCACGTCCCCTATAGAGCATATCCCCTATAGAGCACGTCCCACATACCCTGCATCCCCTATAGAGCACGTCCTACAGGCCCTACACCCCCTATAGAGCACATCCCCTATACAGTACATACCCCAGGCTCTGCACTCCCTATAGAGCACCTCCCCTATAGAGCACGTCCCCTATAGAGCACGTCCTATAGGCCCTGCATCCCCTATAGAGCACATCCCCTATAGAGCATGTCCCACATGCCCTGCGTCCCCTATACAGCACATCCCCTATAGAGCACATTCCACAGGCCCTGTGTCCCCTATAGAGCACATCCCCTATAGAGTACATACCACAGGCTCTGCACCCCCTATAGAGTACCTCCCCTACAGAGCACATCCCACAGGCCCTGTGCCCCCTATAGAGTACTTCCCCTATAGAGCACGTCCCATAGACACTGCGTCCCCTATAGAGCACGTCCCCTATAGAGCACGTCCTACAGGCCCTGCATCCCCTATAGAGCACGTCCCCTATAGAGCATATCCCCTATAGAGCACGTCCCACATACCCTGCATCCCCTATAGAGCACGTCCTACAGGCCCTACACCCCCTATAGAGCACATCCCCTATACAGTACATACCCCAGGCTCTGCACTCCCTATAGAGCACCTCCCCTATAGAGCACATCCCCTATAGAGCACGTCCTATAGGCCCTGCATCCCCTATAGAGCACATCCCCTATAGAGCATGTCCCCTATAGGGTATATCCCCTATAGAGCACGTCCCCTATAGAGCA